GACGATCGAACGGCCGCCGCACGTCCGGAGGCGACGGCCGGACGCCGGCACAGTTTTAAAAAAAAAATTTAAAATTTATTTAATGTGTAAAAAAAAAATTTTTACCTGGCTAGAGAAGAATGCTTTGTCCATGGCGTAGGATTTTTTTGACATTTTTTCGGATATTTTTCGGTGTTCGAATCGGTCGTTGAAAGTCCGATAATTTAGAGAGATAGAAAGTTTAGAGAGAGAGTCTGAAAAAAGGTTAAGGGCAAAAGAGTAAATGGGGGAGGTGACGAGTAAAGAGGGGCGGTGAATAGTAAATGAGATCTTCAAAGGTTGAGCCCCATTCATCTTCCATTACTCCGGTTTTGTTATGGAGCCAACAGTTGGCTCCATAGTGGAGCCAACCTTCTATATACATCAAATAAACCTACTATATTTATAAAATTATATTAGTGTTATTTAAGTAATTAAAGAATATGATAAGTTTATTTAATGTATATAGAAGGTTGACTCCACTATGGAGCCAACTGGTGACTCCATACCAAAACCGTCCATTACCCGGCCGCCCTCTCTCTCTCTCTCTCTCATTTTAATCTTCTCTAGCTCCCTCACTTCCATCATTTCCCCGCCCTATTTCTCTCCATGAATTCCGCTGCCGGCCTCCAATAGTCCACGGAACGGCCACCAATTGTCCACCATATGTCCCTTTCCCTCTCTCCCAGCCGTACACCATCGCCTTCCACAATCACCTCTGCTAGCTTTCACCAGAATTTCCTCTCTCATTCCCCCTCTTTCTCGGTCCTCTATCAAAACCCAGGTACAAATGATAATCTTTCTCTCAATCTATTTTCGATGTAGTAATTTGATCACTGATTTATGTAAGTGCACAATTCCCCGTGCGAATCTTTTCTGGTTTTGCCTTTGTTGTGCTGCTGCTGGCACTATCGATTTTTAGCATATACTGTATTGCGAAAGGTTACCGAAAACCGTTGATGGGTAGAAACCGTTGAATATATATTGCATATTGTGATGGATGGTGGGTTCAGTATGGTATTGTTACCAACTCGTGTTAACCTGATGCAATGTGGCTTAACTTTAATTGGGCGTTTCAACAAAACTGGTGCAGATCGCTTATTGGGTCGATGTGAATTTGCACAGCTGAGATAAGAACTCACACATCTCAATTTTTAGCACCTGGTCCACCTACTCTCTCTCTCTCTCTCTCTCTCTCTCTCTCTCTCTGCCGGTTTGATATGTTCCCTTGGCATAGACCACAACTATCTTGACTGCCACGACCTGCAGCAAGACGAGTAAATTACAACCCCCCACTTAGTCACATTGGGGTACAGTTGATCTCCTCAATTGCTAAATTACATGGGTCAATTTTACAGGACTGGGTTCAAGTAGTAATTCTTTGAAACGGAAGAAAAAAAAAAAGTTTCCAGGGAGAGGCATTTCCAGTCATGAATTCATTGAGTTCAGCAGGTAAGGGGACTCCTGCAACACAAAGTATACTTGGTTCATGTTTGGTTCTTTCATAGGAATTCTACATATCATCTTTAGTTGAATTGGAGATATATTGCGTATGATGACTTCATTAGTTTATGCATACGATAATATGTTTTTTCATTCCTTATTGAGAGTGTGGATCAAGCAAACCCTTAAGATTGTCTCTGTATGTATGTATTCAATCTATGGGCATTATTCTTGGCATAGTTTGGTTTAAGAGGAGTTGGGGCATTAAGTTAACTTTCTTCTAATTTTGAGATTCATTATTTCACTTTTTTTCAATGTTCTGGAAACCGAACGTTCATCGAACCAATGGAGCTACCGGTTCAATGGTTCACTGGTCGAACCGGTTTAACTAAATATATACTTTTTATTTATTTTATATGTATAATATATGATTTTGTATATTTTCGTCGTTAATTTTATGGTGTATAATAACATTTATCTAAATAAAAGTTCAATAATCAATAACCTATTTATATTTTACCATACTAATATAGATCAAATTTTATTTTTTACCTACACCTATGGTTTATTATTTTAATTTTTAAGTTATATTTATTTTTTTATATGTGTGTATTCTAATCTGTTATTTATATATTTATTAAAAAACAACTCAATAAAGAGGATGAGAGTGATAGGGAAAATAAGAAAAATAAAAATGAGGAAGATAGGGTTACAGAGAATCGAACACGGGTCACATGTACACTTAAAGTGCTGTATCAACCATAGTTGTCAGAACCGGACCGGACCGGCCGGTTCGACCGGTTCAACCGGGGAACGGACATCTAAACGGTCCGGTCTTAGTCATTAAACTGTTGAGCACCAAAACCGGTCAAAAACCGTTCGGACCGGTTGAAAACCACTAAAACCGGCTCCGGTTCCACTGGCCCAGTGGCTACTATTTCAAACAGGTTGGATGACTTTTATCTTATAAACTCTTTATTTCTCTGTTAGTTTTCCAATGTGGGACAAGGTGTTTCCTTTCTTTTTACTTGCTTGTTGCTGGACTTGCTGCGTGGGCCATTCAAATATCAAAAGGCCCAGTGACTTTCAAATGATTGGGCCTTTTTTTGGGTATACACATAAGCACTTGCAAGTTGTAAAGTCTTGGACCATTTTTTTTTTTAATGTCCTTATGCAAAGTTTCAAATGCAAATTCTATAAAATTCAAAACTCAAAAGTAAAAGCCCAACTTAAAAAAATATAAATAAAATCATATATATTATTATTATTATTATTATTATTATTATTATTATTATTATAAATTTATAATCTTACAAAATAAATATAAACCTTACGTAATAAGTTTAACACTTTAACATTTAATCAATTAATGATAAAAATATATATAATTATATATTATACATATAAAATTAATGATAAAAAATAAATACAATTAATTTATATACAGAGAAATGTCATTGTACACTATAAAACTAATGATAAAATTATATGTAATTATATAATGTACATATAAAATAAATAAAAAATTATATATTAATTAAATCGGTTCGACCGGTTTGACCACTGGTCCGACCAGTGAACCATTGAACCAGTAGCTTCACCGGTTCGATGACCGGTCCGGTTTTGACAACCTTGGTATCAACCACTATACCAAAACCTTAGTTGCTTTATATTTGACGCATTAAAAAAATAACGTCCAAACTGTAAAATTCAGAACCGCTGGTCCGTGAAAACCGGTACCGGTTTTACCGGTTTTGACCCGGTTCGACCGGTTCTTAACCGGTTCTTGTGCCCAGCGGTTCAAATGCTCAAACCGACTGATTTTATGGCCGGTTCCCGGTTGAACCGGTCGAACCGGCCGGTCCGGTCCAGTTTTCAGAACAATGCTTTTTTTGTCTCCCTATAATAAAGAACTAGTATAACGCCTATGAACTACACGGGTGTTTAAGGAAAAAAATAATTGCCACAAAAAATGAAAACAAAATAATTTTTTTAATGTGAAATAAAAAATAGGAATAATTTATAATAGAATAAAAGAATTTTTAATATTATTTTAAATTCTATAAATATGTTGTATAAAATATTATTTATTTGATTTAATATATATTCATGTTTTTAGAATAATCAACATTTTTTTTATTTAAAAAAAAATAATATGAGTGTAATATTCAATAATTTAAAATATAATATATATGAGTGTAATATTTTTAAACTTTATGGAAGATAATAATTATTTTTATTATTTTAAATTATAATCAACATTTTTTTTATTTAAATATCATTATAATTTTCAATCTCTTCGTACTCATTATTTAAGTTGAGACATACATTTTAAAATATTTTTCTATATTTATTTTATGTTCATACTTAGTTTATATATATTCTTTCAGTTAATATAAATATTTTATGATATGTTAATATAAATCAATTTCTATTTCTTAGTAAAATTTTTGTAGTCTTTTTTAATATTTTTTAATTTAGTTTGATAAATCAATTTCAAATTTATTTATAAGGATATGCATCATGTTTTGTATTTTATATATATAATATGGATGTCATATCGATGATCCTTAAAAGCTAATTAATTTGATATATCATATATAAAAAATAAAATACCACCAAAAAGTTTTAAAGTTAAAAAAATAAGAAGAAGACACATTTATAATTATTGGTGTATAAATTAAATAAGAAAAGAAAATGTAATATATGGTAATGTAAAAAAATGAAAGGTAAAATAGTTTATGGTAACTAACTGTGTATAAGAAAAGAAGAAAGCGATAAATCATTGTTTCTCTTACCATTGTTTCTCTTGGGTTTCATTACTAGCCTACAACGCAATCCAAGCATAATTATTATTTTGTAGAAAATATAAATGTATAACCAAGTCTAACTACGAAGCATTGTTTTTTGCCATGTAGAATTCCGAAACGTGCGGGTGTGCCTCTTAGGCTCAACATATTCGACAATTATATATAAAGAGGATATAACTTTTTAGATGATAATTGTGTGGTTAAAAATTGCTTATAGATTCTCTCTTATCATGTCTAGGAGCAATGCTGTTATCTTTCCCATGATAATATTGTTCAATAGTATGGAAGTATAATAGTTAAGTGATTCTGAAATTAGGGTACTTGCTGCTTTAGATAACTAAAACTGTTGCACTTTGTTGCTTCGTTACAATAGAATACACGACATTTCTGCTTTGCACTAGGAGAGAAGTGGGCATGTTGATGTTGAAGAGTAGAACCGAAATTCAAAATTGAGAAGGATTTAAAATATTCTATTTATCTAGACTTGTGATCAAGTTTTAAGTTTAGTTTTTGTTAAGTTTTAACATAGAAAACAAATAAAATATTTGTTCTAGACAAATGATACAGGATGATGTGCCTGAACCAGGTGGACCTGAACCAGGTGGAGATACTTCGACCGTCCGAGTAAAGCCAATTTCCTTAAAAAAAAAAGTGGGCCGGGAGGGTTTCCGGTGTAAGGATTCCGACTCTCCAGTTTGTATATTTGTTAGAATTGTATTGTATGAGAGAATAAGCATTAGAGTTTATTCTTACCAATATTATATATTTATAGAGAGTTATTACCTTGTTTCCCAAGCTATTTAGGTATGCAGTACGCCTACACTTAGGTAAGTAAGATCTTCTTAGATTCATTCGTATATACTTTCCTTACCTTCAAGGCCTTTTTGCTCTCTTAGACCCATTTCCTTGGTAGACTTCTTTCTTTCTGACACTTCTTTACATATAGGCCTCCTCACTCCATACTCTAGGACTTAAACCAACTCGTCAGTTGTTAGCTCGTAATGTCAACCCGAACCTTATCAATTTTATCCTTAGGGTCTATTAGCTCTATCCTCAACTAAAATTAGTTCGGTTATATTGAACTATTAAATTTGGCTTAGTTTTTTTTTCTTCTTTAAAGTGGATTAAATCTGGGTTAGTTGAGCTGGAGCTATATCACAAGATACAAGTAAAATTAAGTGTTTTCTTTGCAAGTTGTATGAGCTCAAAAAATCTCAATATGTTAATCTATTACATTATTCGAAAGAAGTCGTTATTATATATTAATATAATGATGTGGTACAAGCCTTGACGCGGTTATTATATATTTATATTGCCTATGAATGCAAGTATATTTATATTGCTATGAATGCAAGTGAATGTATTTGNTGAAAAAAAAAAAATGATTGAGTGGAGATTTGAGTTCAGTTAGAGCTTGTTTGCTTTGTTTGCATGCCCAAATTTATTATTCAAAATAATTTTAGTCCAAATTTGTCTTTCTCCATCTTGGGGTCATTTTGATACCTTGTAGAGTAAGTTTCTCCCTCTGGAGGCCATTTTGGTGGTTTACACAATAATTTCTAGTGGGATGACTCGTGGTTGGATTTGTCTCATCAAGATTGTCGTAACTACAAATTTGTAGATTAATTAGATTCCGTTTGCCTACTAAATTTTTTCGTGCAAAATAATTTGAGCTGATATAGTTTTGGCCTAATTTTGGTGTCGTCCCAAGTTAGTATCAAGTATGTGACCTACGTGGAATTCTTTTCGTCGAAACGGTTGTGTACCCAAAATTTCAGGGAGTTCGTTTGCTTAGTCAATTGTCCGTCTAAATATATATGCATATGCTATATTTTCGGCCTAGGCTCATAATCAGCCTGTGTTGAGCCCGTGATAAATTTAACTTAACGAACTTTTATCCTGCCATTAATGATTAGTGATGAGTTTTCAAATTTAATGTACCAAATTTGATGTCTTCAAAAAAAGATGGAGTTTTGCTTGAAAGAGGCCAATATAATGTACTAAAAATGAAATTATGCCGTTATAAATACGTGAGTTGATGAACAAAATAATGTGATTTGTGAGAATGATTGATTGATATTATATAATTATATTGATAATATTGAGGAGAATTAAGTTAAATTAGATTTGAGTTAAAAAGTTGTAAAACAATTATTCGGCTAGTAAAAAAATAGTAAAGTTTTGTAGCCACCCGTGTTGTATAAATTTAGTGAAGTATAGATGTTGAAAAAGAGCTTAAACACCGTTTGCAATACCTAGTTATGTTGGTAAGTATAGAAGGCTTGATTTAAAGCATGCAAATCGTTTAAAGCCTAAACTTTCAAAATAAATGTTTAAATTTGCTAATATGTGAGGGTACAAATATCTTATAAGTTCTATAATATTGAATGGTCTTACTATAATTTTATGTGCATAAATTAATGGTTAATTTTAATAATAAAGTAACCAACTTTAAGCTAACTCAAAGTCAAATATAGGGTAAATTGGAAATAGTAAGATATAATTTTAAAGTCGGTACCCCACATTCAAATTATGTCAATTCCAGACTTCCTCTCCAATATCATCCTGCTCCGATCTGTCATGATGCCGATAGCGTCCAATAAGACCTCTTTTTCTTCAACATACGCCACGATCATCAAATTCTCCAGATGTGATACCGTCTCATAAAAATATGGCTCCAACTTGTTCGGTTTATTTTGATAACGTTCTCGGACTGTTTAAATCAATGCTGATATAGGTTTTGGATGTGTTTATTTCAATCTGAACCATTTATTCCAGTTGAAATGCATGTATACAAATATTTGATATATAATGTATATCATCATAGTTATTTTGTTGCACTTAAGGACTAAAGACCGAATCCCCCTTTTTATCATTGCAGTTGATGGTTTGAAGTTTGAACATTTCAATTTTTTGACGACTTATGTTATATGTGTTATATTCTTCTAAAAATTATGTTGGTTAGTTGATTTTGAACATTTGATGACGTTGATTTTCATTTTTAAATTGAATACTAATGTCATGCCCAATGCCTTGTCCATTTTCAGGGTGAAAACTGTAAATTGAAAATTGTGTTCCTGAATCTCCATTGCCTTAGACCGGGTCCAGTCCTATATGAGTACAAGTCAATCACAGAGACTGTCTCATTTCGAACCAATCTTGGTCGTTTAATACTATCGGGATAGGTATTCTGCTCATTCTCTCTATTGTTTGCATATTTTCTAAAGATAAAAGTAAATGAATAAATAAATATCGCTGCATCCATAAAATATTTGTAGTTCTTACCCTCTCATAAGGTGCTTAAGTTGGTCATGACAAAGTTTGTTTGTTGGATGATGAATTTTCCCGATGGAATATATGTATAAATTTGTATAAAAAATATAGTATATGCTAAAAATTGAGAGTTTGCTATGTTTTATTTGGATAGTGCTTGTTGGTATTTATGTTGAATTATATAGTTTTTTTTTCTCAAGCACATCCCTTATACATAATTCACAAATGTGCTGAGCCTAAATGGCAGGTTCACATAGCTCGAGATCCTATGTGGCAAATTTTTATGCTTGGTCATTTAACTTTGATTGATTTTTATTTACTCAAAATAAAAAATAACTAGGTTAGAATAACCATAAATATACATTGTTTATGACACTTTTTAAGAGCATTAATTATGTTTTAATATTATATCATATTATAGACGTGGTTTAATAGGAGCAAGGAGAACGTTGTAGATCGAAATATGCATGAGAACATTGCAAAATATAAGTACAAAATAAATTTAGAAATCAATTGCAAAAATCTTGTAGATATAACTACCACAATACTATAATAGACTTGATATCTCAATATTAATAATAAATTCTTACGATTTTCTATTCATTTAATAACGAGCCATATACCAAAAATTATTTATTCAAGGAGTTCAAAAATATCATTTGATATTATCAATAACTGCACCAAATCAATTTTTAAAAAATTCATATTATGATCCACAATATCATAATAAATATCATATAAATTAATTGATTAAACCAAAAAAATTAAAATATTTATAATACTATAATTATAAGAAAAAAAATAATATTGATGTAATTGAAAATTAATATTTTTTTAACTTCAAATAATATATATTACAATTTTTTTTTTCAATTAAGTGTTGGTTATAATATTTTCCGCAATTTTTTAATTTTAGCATAACTTATTTAGAAATCAAAATAATATATTGTAGTAAGGTATGAGAAAGAGAAGATATAGAGATAGAGAAGTATTCACTGACTATTATTTATTCTTAATATTTGAATATTTTAAATTCTCACTATCCTTAATTGTATTCAGTATTTAAAATGACATCTATTTAATAACGAGTGAAATAAACATATAAATCATATTAAATTATTATATATCATACAATAAAATAAAAAATAATTATTAATATTCCAAGATATTTTTATACTAATCAATATTGCTTCATTGCTTTAATACATTCAATTATAATTATTTCCCCGTGCATCGCACGTGCTACATACTAGTAGTTGAGTATTATGATGATAAAAAATAAGTAAAATTATTAAGTTTTCTATATAAAAAAATAAATATAGATATTAAAATATTATTTATATATAATATAAACGATTAGCGAGCTAATATATTGTTCAAACAAATTTTTTGAAAAAGTAAATAAGCCCGCCATGCATCGCACGAGATACTCACTAGTATATATAAAAAAGTTTGTGTTTACTTAAAATAGAAACTAAAGTCCCGTCTAAAAGTTTTAAAATTACTAAACTTGTTAATAATTTTTTAAATTTTTTTCAAAAAATCCCGTCTCTGAAAATTAATTAATCAATTTAAGGTATAAAGTTAACAAAATTAATAAATTCGGGTTTTGTATAAAGTGGGCGAATTTATTTAAGGTATCTGATAGCCATTTTTATTTTTGGTAGAAAATATGTTGTTATTATTAAATGTTCAATTTATGGTATAAAGTGCGCGATTTATTTTAGTATGAATTTTTTGAATTTAAATGCTATGAATTTTATTTAGTATGGATAGAAGTGTACTTGGAAATTTGAAAATAAAATACGTGGTATGAAATTCAAATTTTATGTTGATTTGTTATAAAATCAAGGTGATATGATTTTTTAAATTTTAGCATTATTTCTATAATAACTAGCCAAAAAATATTGATAATAATTCGGCAAGTTTATATGTATTCCACTTTCATCAGAAAGATCTTTGAACAAATATTGATTATTAAAATTTAAAATTTGTAATTTAATTATAGAGAATTAGTTGATTAATTTAAACGGTAAAGCAACCGATAATAAATCTAGAAACTTGCGAGATATAATATATAGAGGTAATTGCAAAATTCGTCCCGTAGGATTGCGCCCGTTGTAAAATTAGCATACCCGGTGAAAATTCAGTCCTTAACTTTTTTTCGTGCGAAAGTAGTCCCAAAGCCGTCATCATTAATGGGGGTGTCACATGCGAGTCACGTGGCCATTGGTCGTTAGGTTGAAAAAGGAGAAAATTACAAGTTTAGTCCCATAAAATTGTCTGTGTTGCAAATTTAGTCCCAAATGTTGAAAAAATAGTTTTTTGCTATTTTTTTTTGCAATTTGTATTCAATGAGTATATAACATTGACAGTAAAAGTACAGTTTTGAGACAAAAAAATTATTTAGTATACAATGTTTTCTATATTTCAAATTATTTTTTAATTAAATAATAAATATATTCAAAAAGTAATTATTTAATTTTATTAGAAATATAGAACTGTAGAGGTTAATAAAATTAAAAAAGAAATAATATCAACTACTATTGTTTTGAAAACTGGATCAAACTTCTTGTTGAATAGAGAATCAATCAACTAAACGGTTTGATTCTTTTGAACGACTTGATTCACAATGAACAAGTTAGAATTGGTTGATCGGACTGGTCAATTATATTTTTTTAATAAGTTAATAAATATTTACATATTTTTTGATATAAAAAATATATAAATTTAGTTATGTTTGATATATATAAATTCAAATCTATTTAAATTTATATTATTATTACTATAATAAAAAAAATTTAATTACAGTACAATGTTATCTATATTTCAAATATTTTTAATTAAATAATAAACATATTTAGAAAATAATTATTTACTTTTATTATAATTACAGTGGTTGATATAAAAAAATATATAAATGTAGAAGTTAATAAAATTTTGAAAAATAAGAATAAAAATAATATCAATGACTATTGTTCTGCTGTTGAATCGAGAATCAGTCAACCAAATGGTTGGATTCCTTTGAACGAACTGTTTTCCTATGAACCGGTCAGAGTTGGTTGATCGGACTGGTCAATTATTTTTTAACAATGTTCATTACCGTTTCATCAACTTAAAAAGAAAAAATACTTTCATTCAACAATGTTCACTACCATTTTATGTTTTAATAATAATAATAATAATAATAATAATTTAATATATTTGAATTTATATATATCAAATATATTTAAATGTATATTTATTTTAAAAAGTATATAAATATTTATTAACTTATTAAAAAAATATATAATTGACTAGTCCATTTAACCAATTCCAGTTCGTTCAAAGGAATCTAACCGTTTAGTTGACCGATTCTTGATTCAACAGCCAGTTTGGCTTAGTTTTCAAAACAATAGTAGTTGATATTATTTTTATTTTTTAAATTTTATTAACCTCTACAGTTCTATATTTGTAATAAAATTAAATAATTAAGTTTTTAAATATATTAATTATTTAATTAAAATAATTTGAAATATAGAAAACATTGTATAGTGTCTCTTTTTTACTATTAAAGAAGGTTATATTCATGACATAAAAGTTGCAACAAAAAATAGTAAAAAACAATTTTTTCAACATCTGGGCCTACATTTGCAACACGGTCAATCTAACGGGACTAAATTTGCAATTTTCTTCTTTTCCAACTTAACGATCAAGGGCCACGTGACTCGCATGTGACAACCCTGTTAATGTTGACGGCTTTAAGATTACTTTCGCAACAAAAAAAAGTTAAGGACTGAATTTCCATCGGGTAGAACTAATTTTGCAACGGGCCCATTTTTATTAACTTCATATTTTTTTCGAGTCATAGAGTTAATCGGAAGTAACAAGCAAGTATAAACATTTGATTAATTCTGTTGTTGCCACGATTTCTTTATTTTTGAAGTGTTTCTTGGTGTTAATTCCATCTTTTTGTTTTGATTTCTCTATAGTTTAGTAAGAGGTTTTGTACATGGTTATTAGTTGAGTAAGTAAAGTTAGCAAGTGGCAAAATTGTTAGTTTTACTTTTACATTTAGAGAGAGATTAATTTTCTGAAAATATTGTTTGTTTCAGAAACTCAATTTCTGGGTATTAGTTGCATTAGAGTTTAGCTTGTGGGGAAAATATTATTTCTATTGTTTACATGTTCCCATATGATAATTGAGGTTTAGCAGGTCTGTACAAGTGATCTTATTTTATTTTATTTTATTTTTTTTTGCGGGATTTTGTTTATCAGTCTGACACCAGACCCGATCATTGGGTTGATTTGATTTGAATGTTATATTTAATAAAAGAATATCATCTTTGTGCCATTTCATATCAATCTATACCAGGAACTTAGGGAGGGGATTTTACCTTGTGGGCGAAGTGAGATACATGCAGCATAAACCTTTGGTTTCTTTCAACAAAAAATAAGTGAGATTTTACAATCCGAATAATGCACAATCTAAAATGCCACACAATGATGTGAATTGCCTACAGCTGCTTCGTAATAAAAATATGCTGTGGATTCATGATCAGCGACTTGTATCTGCAAGTCAAACATAGACTTGTTTGCAGCCCAATTCCAATGCGGCTATGATGTTCAGGCTAAAACAGCGAGTTTAACTTGAGGAGTGCCCCAAGAGACACTTTTAACCATTGAGGTTTAATTATTCCACCTACTTGTTTGGATTATTCCAATTTTACCTTTTAAGTGCCGTTATCCAAAATTTTTTTCGTCCTTTATGCTGCAATCTTTTCATCTCGTTCTTGCCTTGAACACACATACACATGCACACACACACATACACATGTTGTATGTGTCACTTCAGTGTCTCTCTCTCTCTGAATGTAGATACATAATTCCATTTTCTTTTCTTTTTCTGTTCTCCAATTCGTTTCACCTATCACTCTTTCTCTTCTTGCTAGTCAGCCCGACAAACTTGATGGACATCTGCGATCCAGGTATGAGAGTGTAGGTGTACTGAAACAATGGTGCACATACAAATTTTGGGGCATTCGTGTTTTTAGTCCACAATTGCGTTCCTATTAGAGCTGTCAGAATGGGCCGTCAATTTTTTTTTTTCCCCTACAAAGCTGTGCTTTAGTTTCAGCAAAAGAACAAAACCCACAAGCAAATGTGAGCAAAACCTGCTTTGAAGTTGGGTTCTGGTGCGGTGATGCCATTAAGTTGTCCGCAAGCTGCACAATATGGCAAGGTCGATGGGCCAGAGTGATGTGTAGTCACTGTTTGTTATGTCAGTGGATAGCTTGGGCTCCTTTAAAGATAATCCACTGTCGTTGGGTTTTAAGAAATTGTGCGCTTTTCTTCAAAGATAATCTATTTACGGCTGATTCAGACTTTCTGGCTTTCATGGCTGTCTGGGGGGGTTTTCGCAGCAGCTAAACTGATTCAAAGAAATAGTGAGATAGAACAACGTCTTGGTGAGAGAAATGGACTATTATTGTATCAATTACAGAAAGAGATAGCAACAATTAGGCAGGAGAAAATGATTTAGTTGAAGTTATTTCACAAAAATTGCTGCAATTTCTTATGGGACTTGATGGTAGCTATGAGGTGGTGATGAGCCAGATATTGCTTTTGGATCCTTTAATAAAGCTTACTTAATGATTCAAAGAGTTGAAAAACATAGATCAGTAACAACTATTTCCTCAACTTAGAGAACAAAGTGCTATGTTCACAAAATTCAGTGGTAATGGAAGAGGAACAGGAAAAGGAGGAAATAATAATCAGAATTGGCAAGGAGGTAAGGGAAGGGGATTTGTGAGGCTTTCTAATAAAGAAAAGGCCAAATTGAAGTGTGACTATTGCCAGAGAATGGACATTTGTCACAATCTTGCTTCAAACTTCATGGTTGCCCAAACTGTTTCAAGGCATTAAGGGAAGAAACAGTAAAGAATTCAGGGAATGGGGAAGATGATGACTAACTCCGTGAATTCAGAGGCTCTCTAATCAAAGAAAGTTGAGGATGAGAATGAAAAGGCAATGTGCTGCCACTTAAGGATATTTCAAATCTGAGGTGATTGCCAAATTTTTCTCAACAAGAGGTATACAAAATTATGAGAGGGCACAAGGACATGCTCATTTTGCAGAAGTACTCCTCTTTATAACCCTAACTATGCTTTAATTAGTGTTAAGCATGCTGATGAGAATTCTTGGATGTTAGATACTGGTGCCAGTAGATATATGAGCCATAGTTCCAGTCTTTTATCAAACATACACTTGGTTTTACCTATGGACATCTTACTTCCAAATGGCTCCAAGTTGACAGTTACACATTCAGGAATTGTAAAGTTACATAACAAACTTGTTTTACATGATGTACTTGTTTTTAGACAAAGTACTAGATCAAAGAAACCACCTTTTTGGCACTCAGATTATGTTCTCTCCTCTACTATCTTACCACTGTCTCCACATGCAACCAATGGACTGGTTTCAGGTAAGACTACTACTATACACTAAATGCATTTCTCAATTACATTTCACCTTCATTAAGCTCCAGCTATGTGTCTTTTCTGGCAACTTTATCTAATGTACAAGAACCCAAATCATATGCACAATCTAGTAAAAGTAAAGAATGGGTTGAGGTTATGAATCAAGAGTTAACAACAATAAAAATGAGACTATGGATCCTGGTTGATTTGCCACCTGATAAGCAAGTTATAGGTTGCAAATGGGTTTTTAAGTTGAAGCTGAATCCAAATGGAACCATTGAAGATATACAACGAGATTGGTAGCCAAGAGTTATCATCAAGTTTATGGAGTTGATTATTGGGAAAGTTTTTCTCTAAAAAGGACACCATTAGGCTTCTCATAGCTATAAAAGTGCATAATCATTGCCAATACACCATCTTGACATAAATAATGCTTTCCTAGATGGAGGATATCTTCACGACTCCTCCTGAAGGGTAAGAATAGGCCTGGTCAAGTATGTCATCTTAAAAAGAGCCTATATGGTTTAAAACAGGCTTCCAGAGAATGGAATGTTGAGTTTTGTGACAAACTCTTATCGTTTGGTTTTCATCAGTCAGCTCATGACCATTGTCTCTTCATAAAGATTTCTGGTTCTACTTCCCTTGATTTGGTCATATATGTAGATGATATTTTATTAACTGGTGCCGAGTTAGCTGCTATCACTGAGTTTGAAGGAATATTTGGATAATTTGTTTACCACTTTATGGGAAGCCAAATACTTCCTTGGCATTGAATTGGCTAGAGGTGAAGCTGGTGTATATTTGAATCAGAGGAACTATGTCTTGGACATTTTGGAGGATACTCGTTTAACTCATTACAAGCCTGTTTGTGGTTTGAAGTCAGTTTGTTAGTAATCCTCTCACTACACATTGGGATGCAACTATTCATATGGTTTGATATCTTAAGGGTTATTCTTACATTGGATTGTTTTATCCCTCTCACTGTTATCTTACACTACAAGCCTAAAATGATGCAGACTTAGGGGTGGGCAAAAAAACCGAATTCTCCCGTACCAAACAGGACCGCAATGGTCCCCTTCCAAAAAATAAGGTTCCGAAATTTTTCGTTTTTGTCCCGTTCCCGGTGCCGGACCGTTTTAAGCAATGTCAGTATAGGTTTTGAATATTTTCGTCCTGAACCATCCCGTTTGTCCCATATATATTTTTTTCGTACAAAATATTACACATATATTACATATATATTATACATTATTATTATATTTAATATTAGTAGTATAGTACCAATTACATAATTAATAATAAGTCATTTTGGCATTCAAGATTCAAATACCATTCTAACTTTGTAATATAAAAACACAAAAGCCCAATTGTCCAAGCCAAAACTAAATAATTTGGCCAAAAAATAAATAAATAAATAAATAAACAATGCATTTGGTAATTTGGTTTTAAAGACAACATATATGTTAGATCTGAGATGTTGGTGAGTGGTGACTTAAATTTAATGGATTGGTATGTATGTTATAATGGAATCAATACTCTTTGGTAATTTGGTTTAAGTGAATACTTGAATCGGTGTGTGTGTTTTAATCAAAATTATGGAATAAATATGTTGGTTGTTTGTTTTAAATTTTAATGGAAGCAATTCTTTGGTTTAGTTTATATGTTTGTTTTGCATTTTTCTGGGAGTGATTTTATGGCTTGGAAAACAAAGAAGCAAGCAACAATATCACGTTCGTCAGCTGAAGAGTTGCAGTGGCTCTCTTTTCTCTTGAATGATGTCCATGTTCCTGTTTCTAATCCTATATCTTTGTGGTGTGACAACCAAGCTGCTTTACACATTGTGGCAAATCCAACTTTTCATGTAAGAACCCAGATAGATTGTCACTTGGTTAGGAATCAATTTAAGACTAGTTTTGTTGCTTCTAAAAAGGTCTCTTCAGCTCTTCAATTGGCAAACATTTTTACTAAGTCATTGGGACTTTCTATCTTCAACACATTGCGATTCAAGCTTGGTCTTGTTGATCTTCACCAAGTACCAGCTTGACGGGAGCCATTAAGTGTAGCATTTTCATGTTCTCGAATGTGTTTTTTCAGCTGTCTAATGGTTAAACATTATAAGGGGTATTTTAGTATTTTTACCTTTTATGTCTTCTTTATTTAAATATCAGTTTAGCCGTTGGGCATTGTAACCGATCAGTCTGTAATTTCTCAAGCTTTATCAATGGAGTTTACATAATATCTTTTCTCTCTTTCTACTTCACCTCTCTGTTATACCAGTTAAAGAAGGTCTCCTAAGTGAAAGTTTATTTTTTTTTAACACCTAGTAAACTTATGAACTTGGATACAATTTTATACTTACATGGTGCTGTATGTTTTATATGTTCATTTCTGGTTTGATTTTGTCTGATCTTGTTCATTTGTACTCATCGTATCCTGCATTAATGTCTTAAAATTAAAATATGAACATCGTCACATTTTGCCCCAAAATGGTGATTAGGATTTGTTTTATTGTTCTCATTTATTGAGTGTGTAAAGGACTGATTTGTGATTAATTTTGTTATTGGTAAGAGAGATTTTAGGAACATGGGTTGCTCATGGAAGAATAAATTATGGAAAGTGGATCTTGATCAAATCATATAAAAATCATGTATTATTGAAGAAATTATAGGTATGGATAGTTGAATATTAATGTAAAATATTTGTACTGAAGGTAAAATGATAAAAAAAGGTGTTATAATTGTAGGTGTTTTGGCCGTTCAGCTTTCAACAGATTTTTAAGCTACAACTGGTATGGATCATTGCATTCAAGATTCCAGCACACTAAGCATTAATGAAAATGCAATTAGTGTTGTTAGCTGCTCCAACTTTGGTGTTGCGACCCCTCAGAAGGTGAATTCATTAGCAGAACTGATGGATTTGAGTCTGACACGTAGCGAAGCACCAAACATAAGCACTGGCCTTATTTGTCCGCAGTCTCAAATACAAGGCAATCAAGGACACGTTTTGCAACAAATAACAAGTGAGTGTACAACTGTGTACTATTTTCACTACGCATCTAATTTTCTATTAGGACACACTAATTATGATTGCTCAGAACGTGAAATGATCAAGTGTTTGTATCCATCACTAATATATGGTTGTGACCTGATTGTTTCTTATGCATGTAAGATCAGATGATACCTAATATTCACAATACAGATAATGATATAATTGTTTGAATAATTGCTGAAATTGATTCAAACATTATTTTTTCTTGAAACTTTTACAAATAATAATCATGGTGGCTGCATTTGCATTTGTCCACAGGTAAGTATAACCTAAATTTACCACCAGGACCGGAAGCTGGTGTTGTGTGTGGGGTAGAGCTGCAAAAGCAGTCCCAGATCAGTCAACATTTAGATTTAGTACACAAGAGCTCGACTCAAGAAAAATGCATCGAGAATAACATAACAATTTCGAATTGTGATGGGGAAAATGGAGGCATTGATCTAAACCAGACACCCCAGCCTAGACCACCCAAGAGAAATAGAAAGAAACATCGACCCAAAGTAGTAATTGAAGGGAAACCAAAACAAACTCCAAAACCTCCTCCTCCTACTCACTCTACAGGAAAAAGGAAGTACGTATGTAAAACTGGCATTCAAACTTCAGAATCCAAAGGCCGGCCACCATCCAAGAGAAAGTTAGATTTTGAGTTGGAGAATGAATCGGAAAAGAAAGTTAAGGACGTAGGAGGATTAAACTGCCACCAAGCGGATGATAACTTGAACTTGGATGCTCATATAAACACACATGGCAGAAAGAAACACCAACACCATGGCGAGACTAGAAAGAATTTTTTGAATGAAGTTGCTGTGAGAGACCATACCTTGAATGTCATTGCCAGGTCCTTCAAAATGCAAAATGCTAATACAAACCAAAGTATTGATGCAAATAGGTATAGGTATAGGAATAGTCACTGTATCATTCAGGCACCGGATGCATACTATAATAGTAGACAATCAACTTTATCGACTATGCCTCAACTTGTGCAGGAGTTGATGGGTGTAACTCAGACTCAAGCTGCTGACAAGCTATACACCCACTCTTATCCACATACTATCAAAGACTACTCTAACAATCTATGGAGCAATGGTTTATATACAAGCGGGGGAAGGAATGTTGATAAAGCCTCGTCTGGCCTACTTTCTTCTGTGGTTACAACCCAAGAACAAGACTTTTCTGGACAAATTGGAAGCAGCCCACTTGCGTTTGCGTTTGCACCAACTTATGACATTACACCTCAGAATATCTACACAAATCAAGACAATATATCCAACAACCTCACTCCTAATTGCTTCACCAACTACCCGCATTTCAGACACCGCCAAAAGCTGAATTTTTGTCGGCCACAAAGCACATACCAAGAAAACAACAATACCAACTTTATAAACCAAAATGTGGGGTCTGCATCTCAAACAAAACCTAAAGTCATTCCATTAAATGATAAAATTAATTCCACTGGCCGTCTTGAGGTGAGCAGACAGACTGCTGCTGCTGCTGGACAGACATCATCTAACAAAAGGTCACAGTCTCAAGAGCAGTCCAAGAACAAAAGAAATTACCGGAATTCAGTCACAGGTAAAAAAATTTCCCCAGTTAATCTGTTGTTTTAAATGCTGGATACTATATAATTTCATTTTTTGTGTACAGCGATACAAGAAGAGAGGTTGTTTTCTGTTGATTACATTACAAGGCTTTTGAAAGACTTAAACATCAGTAACAACACACTTGTTCCCTACAAAGGAGACGGTGCTATTATTCAGTATGAGGAAATCGATGTATTAAAAAAAAGGCGGGCACGAGCTAGGGTGGACCTTGATCCTGAGACAAATAGGTTGTGGAATCTTTTAATGGGTAAAGAAGAAGGTAAAAGTGCGGAAAAAATGGATACTGGTAAGCAAAAATGGTTGGAAGAAGAAAGAAAAGTTTTTCGGGGTCGAGTTGACTCCTTCATTGCACGAATGCACCTAGTCCAAGGTACTTTCATCAACAACAACTGCAAAATAAAAATTTTACATTTTTGTATAATACATGATTATTTTCCGGCTTAAATCATTCACACAAATATATCAAAGACGAGTAAGAGAATGATTTAAGCCCAAAAATAATCATGTATTATACAAAAATGTAAAATTTTTATTTTAAAATATTTTTCCTGAAGTAAAAAAATAAATCTGTATATTCTAATAATAGAAATATTTTCTTAAATTCTAACTTATTGAGAGAAAAAAAATTCAGGATAATATAATATTATGTTTCACCTTTAATAGTACACATGATATAAACCTTTTTTTATGCTCATATATATATTATATCCATCTTAATTCAAAGTTAGGTACCGTTGTTTGGATATTTTCTCTTATTATATCTTTTGATTATAATGTTGTTATAGTGGAAGAGTATCTTTTTCACTTAATTTTGGTTGATAGCATATAAAAACTTGAAATTTGAGGTATGCTCGCAAGCCAGTCTTTCTTAATACTTAGATATTTTTCTTTTATTATTATTATTTTTTGGCTTTGAAGAAGTGAGGCATAACAATTTTTGAATAAATATGGCATGAATAATGTTACAAATAATACTGACTATGACATTGAATGCAAAGTAAACATATTCATTATTTTCATGTAAATGATTGTAGTGATAAATATTAGTTGTATATAATAAATTTATTATTTCGCCGCATATTAGTTATTTTATTTTATTTTGTATGATATGTTTTCTTTGTTCGCACTAAAATAAAAATAAATTAAATACAAATCCAACACATATTAGAATGGAAAAATATTTATGTTATTGTATAATTGAAAGATGAATTTGAATTATACTATTAGGAAGATTCTAAAATTTTAATTATTTCAAAAAGCTAATAAAAGCAAAAGTAACCTTATTAACTACAAAGAATAATATTATTAATTTATTATTTAATTAACTTAATATTATGAGATAAATTAAATACTATTATCGACAATATTTTTCATAATAATTTAAAAATCATAAAACTATGTTTATGAATGTTAATAATTATAACTCCCTAACATTTGTAAATAAAATTACATTAGTGACCTTCGAAATTAATTATAGTGGAGCATTTTCGGCAATCCAAACTTTCCAAGAAACAACTCTTGATGCAAAACAACTCATCACATGTGAGTTGCTTCCATCTTCAACTCAAATGAGGGTAAATAGATTCTTCTTGTTTTCTCAAGTGAGGCATATATATATATATATGTATATAATTGAGGTGAAAGGAAATACACTGAATATTAGCATGAAGTGACTGTGTTTTCTTCTTCTCAGGGGACAGGCGATTCTCTAAGTGGAAAGGATCAGTTGTTGATTCTGTGATTGGGGTTTTTCTCACGCAAAATGTTTCCGATCACCTTTCCAGGTAAACCAATTTTGTATGTATGCCTCGAGTGTAAGAATCTGAGCAACCTACTTTTCTTGTTTGTTTGATGAACTTCTACTGGTTGGTTGCAGCTCTGCTTTCATGTCTCTTGCAGCAAAGTTCCCTTTAAAATCTACAACTGTATGTTGCAAAAGTCCATTGATTGAACACCATGAGGTTCGAATAACACATCCACCACATGAAACTTGTTACGAGGACAAAATTCTAAGGGAACCAGAAAAAAAAGCCATGACCCATTTAGTCGACCATCATACCAAGGACTTTGCACAAACTTATTCAGAACCTATTGGTTTTCAATCATATGAAACTGAAGATGGGTTGAACCTCACCAAAAAATGTAATTATCGAAATGCCCCTCAACAACTCCACCAATATCTGGGAAGTTTAAATGCCGACGAACCTTTGTTTTGTCATCAGCAATTACAAAATGCAACACACAAGCAAAATGAAGGTCTAGCAGATTATCCGTATCCTCTTCTCCCATCTGCTAAATACTGCCCAAACTTGTCGTTGGACCTGGAAAAATGGGAAGAAGATGTTCTTGCATTCTTAGGAACAGAAAGCATATCATCTTCTTTGGCTTCAACTTATTTTGAAATTACCACGGGAACAGTAGGTGTAAATCACCCACATTATGATTACATAGGGCAGAGTTCAGAAAGTAGTTTTACCAGCAGACAAGATGACGCCCATAAATTTCAACAATCACCAGTAAATATCAATAATGCAACTCCAAACAAACATCCTCCATTGAAATCTGTCTTTTCAGATGACCAACATGTCGAAATTCATAAGGAGATCGCATTTTTATCTGACTCCATGAGGCCTGCTGCCGAATCATTAAGTACTTGGACGAGTGGTATAGGTAAGTATAGGAATATTTATATCAACTTTTTTCTTGTACAGGATACTTTTTATTGACAATAAATTGTTACAGATATATGTCAGAAACACACTGATGATACAACACCTGAACCAGCTAAAACGGGTGATCCATTAAATTCTTCCCACAAACAAGCCACTAACTTGAGCTCCGCAAGAAAACGCAAGGTTGAGACAGAAAAGGTGGAACCATTTGATTGGGATAGCTTGAGAAAGCAAGTGCAGTCAAAGGAAGGAAGACGCAGGGAGAGAGAGGACTCTCTAGACTATGAGGCATTACGAAAGGCTGATGTTCGTGAGATTTCAGATGCGATTAAGGAAAGGGGCATGAACAATATGCTAGCTGAGAGAATGAAGGTTTGTGGATGATATGATTATATTTGATGACATTCTAAACATATTTACTTTTAATGAAAATTAGTATCAGATTAATTTTTTGTTGGCTATATTAATTACACAGAGTTTTCTCAATCGCCTGGTGAGAGATCATGAAAAAATTGACCTTGAATGGTTGAGGAATGTTGAACCAGACAAAGCCAAGTATGTTTTTCTCCTCAAGCTAATTAGCAAGAAGAACATTAACACATACATTCTCTAAGTATCTCCAACACAAGCTTGTATACAAGCTTGACATCACAATGCAACACCATATTTTCCATAACAAAAAGAAGTTTCTGCCATGCCAGGGATTATTTATTGAGCATATGGGGACTAGGCCTAAAAAGTGTGGAGTGTGTACGTCTTTTAACACTTCATCATTTGGCTTTTCCGGTGAGTACATTTGCTTGCATAGCGATAAGAATACCCGATAATATATGACTGGAAAAGGAATCTTGCATTGAGTGTTAACACCACTCCACCACCTGTGGCTGTTAGGTGGACACAAATGTTGGACGCATTGCTGTTCGACTTGGTTGGGTTCCTCTACAGCCACTTCCTGAGTCACTCCAATTGCATCTTCTTGAACTGTAAGCATATGTTAAGCAATCATCATGAGTTA